ACTTGAACTAGGGGCTTGTGAGCACGAGCGGGTTTGCTACCGGGGTACAGCCCTACATTTTATACACTCAACTTCCCCTGCCAGTTCAACACAAGCACACATTTAACAACATCATTCCACACCTGACTAATTGCCTGTAAAGAAGACAAACCTTAACCCCCACATCATGAAACAACACACTGCGCTAAACAAATGCTTCTTCCAAGAGGGTCCAGTTTTGCCTCATATTTCATGAATAAGTTCTGCATATGTTAGCTGACTTACTATGTTCTTTGTTACAGGCCACAGAGAGAAAGACACAAAGACAGAGAGGGAAAGAGAGATAGAGAGAAAGAGAGAGAAAGAAAAAAAGAGAGAGAGAGAGAGAGAGAGAGAGAGAGAGAGAGAGAGAGAGAGAGAGAGAGAGAGAGAGAGAGAGAGTGAGAGTAAGAGAGAAAGGGGGAGGGGAGATGGAGAGAGACAGAGAGAAGGGTAGGACACAAAGATGGTTGTATTACCTTTCCCGTGTGTATCTGTGTGGATGTTTGAGTTGATATATAGATTATGTTACTGTATGGACATTTAATGTTGCAGAACCTGATGAAAACACAGTGTCAATTACTTTCAGCGAAGGACCGATCAAGTCTTTTTCCATAACATCAGATCAAGATCAGAAATTTGCAACTTTGACAATGCCAGCTGAAGTGCAAGACTTGTACCATAGAGAAATGTACAATGCCCCTTTTTCACCAAACCTGTGCTGCTTTCTGTGGACATGGGCAAAACTTACCAAAGAGCGTCTGTTTGCTCCTCTCGTCATCGCTGATGATGGCAGACGCCACGTAGACCAAGCCCGACACCAGGATGCAGACCAAGAACAGAACCAGAACTGCTTCATGGACACGAGCCATCAGACCCTATGAGTGTGTATGTGTGTGTGTGTGGGGGGGGGGGGAGGGGTGGGGGGAGGAAATTAGAAAGAAAACAAGATAAAAGTCAAAGTCTACACAAGAGCATTTTTCCACAAACTCTGTGTCTGTCATATAACCTTAGAAAGCATAAAATCTATCAATAGACAGTAGCCACTGAAATCAGAATAGCCACACAGTGGTCAAAAACTCTACCAGTGACCAGTCTTGGTTATTTGTAGCCTATTAAGCTGCAGCGGGACATGAGGCACCTTTCATATTTAAAGTTCAAAGGTATAATCTGAATATATGGCACTCATTACAACCAAGCAAAATTCGCCACAGAGCAAATAATACAACCTTTACAGTCTAAGCTCTTAAAAATCTCCCCTCCCACCAACCATCCCCTGCCTCTGTCTGACAGTCTCTCTACCCCCCCCCCCCCTCCCCTTCCACTACCCTTACTCTATGCAACCCCCTCCCCCCCCCCCATAGGGAGCAGCACATCTTTTAAGTCTTGCACCATTGGATGTACCATTTCTCAGATGACTAATGACTGTACCTTTCTGGAGCCGGAGAAGCCTTCAGATTCGGTGAACAGATAGGCAAACGGCATCAAGAAAAACAGGGCCAGGTTGGAGAAGAAAAACACATGGTTCCACAAACCTGAGAAGAAAAAATGCATAGTGAAATAGATCCGCGAGGAATATTAAATTAAATGCAAGGTTTTATAAACCTGGGAAAAAAATGTTATTTATCCCATTCTTCTTCTTCTTGATCCCATCACACTTGAAGTCCAGCATCTGTCATATACTAGGCCGTCCTGCTCAGTTCATCTGTCAGCTTGATATACAGCTTTTCTTGTAGTGTCGGCCACATCTCCTGTCTCAGAACCCTGTGTACCTTGCAGTACTGAAGGACGTGTTCCACAGTTTGGTCCGCCTCTCCACAGTGGTATTTGCTTATCCCACTAATTTGTGAAGAATGCAGGATCGCATCTATTTGTAAACAGACACAGCTTGACCCCATAAACTCATGAAAAAGTATTTCAAACCAAACCTTTGAAGAGAAACGCAGAGTCAGGTACATTTGTGAAGGCAATACATTGCCATTCAATTGCACTGGCATGCATTGCCTTTGTGAACTGAAAGCAAGCCCCAGTGTACGATGGAATAAATAGAAATTGAGTAGTCGAAAGAGTCGAGGGGCACGTGTCCTTTAGACTGAGGAGGGGCAGGGCTCTGTGGGTGAAACTTTAGAAGGAAAAACACTTAGTGCTTCACATAAATCCCAACAAGGACTTACTTTTGAACCCCCCCCCCCCCCCCCCATGTACACATGTACTCACACAGTATGTGTGAGCGATGAGTCCTACCATTTGACATAATAGCCGTTTCTCTCTTTTTCCCC